TTTTTTTAAACAGATGCAATGCTTCTCAAAACAGGAGCCTAGCACTTCTGTCCTAGACAGATGTAGTCTTCTGGATCTCACTGGCAGAAGAGATTACAACCCCCAGCTGGCCTGTCACACATCCTTAAGAGAGATTATCACCCCCATTTATCTGCCAACAGAGCAGTCTGTGTACCTCTCCTCATTCACTCCAAGCAAGAATAAAAATCAGCAAAGTCAGCTTTAAGCAGTTTAAATTGTTGGTCCCAGCTAACATGACTAATTTCACCTAAAGGAAATTAGGAAAAGCTGATATAAACCACTTGCAGGAGAGCAATGACAAGTAACTGTAACAGTAACCCCTTCCAGAATGAGAACATCTATCCACAGCCCAAGTCGTGACTGCAATTAGATTTAGATCCTTTTGAAATTTTATCCACCTATGAAACGGAGAGAACTTAAACAATTCTTGAAATTACTTAAACTGCAGTTTCTTGCCTAAAATATTACATCCTTAAAAATATTTGCAGCTGTTTCAATTTTGGTGGGTTTTCCTAGTGGAAAGCAAGCAATTACTACCAAAGCATCAAAAAGACATATTAGCACAAGCCAGACTTCTCACTGACAATTAAATTTCATACTTAAGTCTTAGTTCAGATTTCAATCATATACAAAAGCAACAGAAAAATCTCCTTCACTATATCTTGGAAAAAGTATTCTCTGTGGAAAGCCTCAATGGACGGTGACTGAAGATTTACTCAGACTTTGGAAAAGGTATGAATAGATGAAGTTGGTCACTTTATCCAGGAGACCTTTTATGCCTACCAGTAGGTCTCCTTGGTGTCCTAGAAGAAGCAAAGAGGCTTCTCAAATCAAAAACCGTGGACGTAAATATGGGTTACGCTGTCCAGTCAAGAACCCCTGAAAATGCTGCTTTGGCCTAGAATCCCAGGCGGGTAAGATCAGCTAATTGTGGGGGGCTTGTCCGACAGTTTAGCTTCTGAGCTACTGCTGCTCCGGCTTCCTGGAAACTCTCCTGCCCAGAGGACAAAGTTTGCAGGAAACTCTCCACCAGTCCAAAGCCCAGAGCAGGCTAGAACCCCATAGAACATATGAACATCTGCATACAAGGACTTGGACTGAGATGGTCTCATCCAAAAAGGCCAGAATATACTTTCCAGCTAAAGAAGACGAGAAAACTGCAGCAGGCATCATCACATCACACAGATTTATTATATCTAATCTCTCAACACTATGTAGAATCAGCTCCAGAAGACCTAGATCTCCACAGTCTCGTAGCATCTCTTTGCACAGTTACAACCTCATTTCAAAAATACTTAGGTCACAGTTATGTGGAACACCATAGCACCAGTGCTGTTTCTTTGATGGATTAAAATATGCGACATCAAATAGTCTGGGCTGGAAAATGAGATACAATTACATCTGCTCTCAGGGGCTACTGAAAGAAGCCAAAAATTTCTAACACTGCATCACAAAGCAGTTGATTCAAGGAATCACACAAGTTCATCCCTCAACCACAAAGTGGCTGAAGGGAAGGGGGGCAGGGGGAAAAGGCAGCAAAGTCTCACATGCATGGGTCTCAGTCCTGTCCTCTGTTACCCGCCTAACAGTGGATGAGGGAAGAAAACTCATATGGCTCAAGCTGCAAGGCGATATAGACACTGAGTACACTCCAAATGAAGGACTTGTCAACATTACAAGCTCAGAAGCAGCTCTTAAAGAATAAATATAAAGCATACAGCAACAACATGCAAATATATCATGTATTTTTACAGTTTATAAAAAGTTTTATGGCTTGTTCTCAGTTTCTGAGACTACATTTAAGTACTAAACCGACTTGTTCGAAGAACTTACCCACAATGGCTCTCAAACATCTTCCTGTTTAACGGTAGCTAATTTAAAGCTCAGCACTCTGTATGGATAGAATGGTTCTTTTTCTCGCCATGCATTTCTTTGCACTTTTCAATACCAAATTTAATAAAATATTTTAATTGCCAGTTTAGGTTTAACATCCTAAATAATCTCATATAGCAATATTCATACTATTCCTCGTTCCTTCTTCCAGATTTTTGAGGTCTATGCAGAACAAAGGACACAGCAGAAACACTACTGCCAACCGCTTTCTATTATGAAAGCTGATTATTTATTCCTCTTTTTGTTTCTCATATTTTATCCAGTTATTAGTGATTTACTAACTCCTGGAAGTTAAGCAATCTTTCCTGAAGAGTCTTAGTAAAGGGTCTTGTCAAAAGCCACGTGGGAATTTACATAGGATGTAATAATCAGATCATCGTCAGTTATTTAGTTATCCTTCAGTGAACACTAGTAAATCTGGGAGGTGTGACTTTGTTAACAATCATGCAATCATGTTATCAGTTGTTTATTTGTTTGAAACGTCATTTATTGGCTCTCTGAATTTTGTTCTCATCATAAAAGCTCCAAAATAGTCCTTATAGTTGGACTGGTGCAAAGTATACCAGTATTCCAACCGGTGCAAAGTATAAAGACTTTCTAAATACTTTCTTCTTTTTTCCTCTGTTAGTGACTTCAGTTCATCAGAGCCATTTATCTCCCCAGACAACAGGCTGACACCTTTTGTTTGCAAGTCTTGCTATTGCACGGGACAGTGAGTCTGCAGAGACCTGATCGGCAGAGATTCTGCTGGAGATGAGAACTCTGCATGCAACAGAAAAACCACATATGGCTCACCAGGTTGGTTTGCTACAGTGCTGCACAGCTGTAACAACAGAAGTTTAAGTATTTGCATGTATCCAAATATACAGTATCCAACATTATCCTTTTTCTGCTTCCCATAACTAGGGGAATTAAGTAGTGCCAAACCTTAACGCTAATCAACACCATAACCATCTTTCAATTCCCTATCACTTCTTCATTTCTGAAGCTAAGCCAGCTGGCCTGCTTAACACTGATGCCAATGGGCCTTCACACGTAGCATACTGTGAGACACTCAGTTGCCCAAACACTGACACACAGCTGCTTGTCACGTTAAATCGTTCGTGTTGTCCTTTGCATAGTTTTGGTCTGGATCATTCTGAACAATGCTTCAGTATTACTCAGAAGGGCACGTGGGCTAGGTACCACGCCTATTACTCAGCCTGCATCTGTCCATGCTGATTTGGAGGTCAGGAGAACTTAGCTCTGCTTCGTACAGGTAAAAGCCATGCTGCACTGATTGGCTTCAGCGCCAGAGCCAGCCTTCATCTACTAGCAGAACTAAGGCAGAGTCACAAATCTGCTGTACAGCTAATAATCTCCATTAGAGGAACAGCTGAAAACAATAAAACTTGAAACCACTCCAGCTAAATTTAGAGGATAATATCTAAAAGTAAGGCATTGCAGTTTTAGAGGCAACTGCATAGCAGAACAAGGAAGACCACTGCACTCCTCAGAGGAGCAAGGATAAATTAGTATGAATACACTTTAGATAGCTTGAAAAATTCAAATTCCCTAGAGTTTGTTACTTCAAATTTAAAAATTCACTTTGAATCTCCCAAATGATTGACTTTAAAAAGCGATCCATGTCTCCTCAGCTAGCTCCTCTTTTTCTTAGCCTTCTCTCTCAGCTTTCGAAGTGCTTGAGGCAAAGTTTAGAGGCCTCATTGCAGATGCAGAAGTAGGGCATAATCGGTTTGATTAACTTTTTAAAGGGGCTGCTCAGTGTGCGGTCAGATAACTTCCAAAAATTCATAGCTATTGGAGGCTTTAAAAGTCTATGCATAACATCCCTTACAATAAGCATAACTTACTTGAACTCTTAAAGCGTTTTATAATTCAGACCTAGGACATTATCATGTTTCAAAACAGGAAAGAAGTTCCACGTTTAACTATTCTGATAATTACTTACAACATACACCAGAAGCAGCTCTGAATACAGAAGTGCCATTTGTATTCATTTGTCAGAGCAAGACTGTATCTGAAAGAAAGGGCTTTAAACTAGAAACATACAACTTAGCAGAAAAGTGACCGGTCATCGATAACTATTCCAAAATAATGACTCTGGTGAGTAGAGGTATTTGGGGTTAGAGAAAGAGGGAAAGTGAACCACACATAAAACTCTATTTGAACAAACTACTCCAGATTAAAACAAATTGCATTTAAGCATAAATTGTTCACTTTGCAGGCAGAGTAGGTTATTTCAAGATAAAGTCACATTTCAAGAAGAGAGTGGGGTACAATTCTCATCATAACAACTACAGACATCTGCCATTATAAAGGCTCAAATTAAAACAATCACATTCTACTAGCCTATGAGAAAACCCCAGCAGCTATACTGGGATTTCCTTCATTTATGACCACGATTATAAGTATAAACTCAGAAGGCTACATTAAGTTTAGGATAATTAAAACTCATCACAGCCCCTGCATCTGGAAATGAGAAAAAAAAAATTAACCAAATAAAATCAATTTACATTAATTCTTTCCAGAAGAGAAAGATCATGCTAGCAGGTATCCAAAGAGGCCTATATTTGCATTTCCTTCAAATAAATATTTTTGAATCAGGAAAAAAGAGAAAAGGAAACAAAATAAATGCACTGACTTGTTTACTAACTCAAAATATTTACTAACTTAAAAGATTTTACAAAAGGGGAAAATAAAAGAATGTGCATATTAAACCGGTAAGCCCAGAAAGCAAGACGATGGCACAGCTGTTGCTTATCTGACTCCTATTCATTGCAAACATGCCTATTTTGAAAAAGAAACTATTATATAAATTAAAAAGTTGCATTAAAAAACAGCCTTCCTATTACATTTAATTGTTATGACAGTATACCAACCTTAGAATGCAAAAGCAAGCAATATACAAGGTCCCATTTGCTGTCAGAAAGGAAGTTGATTGCAAGATCTCAGGTAGCAGTTTGTGCAAATAATAGTCAAGTTTTCGTTTCCTGAGAATAGCTGCAATCTGAGGGAGGAGGGAAGAAAAAAAAAAAGGGGGACAAACTTTAATTCCATTAGCGGATTTTTGCACATTGCAAAGAAAAAAAAGGAAAAGGAGACATAACCATTCAAGTAGTAAATCAAAGCCTCTTAAATATGTTGTTTCTATGAATAATATTACAAAGTTTTCCTTTGAACTTGTTCCAGCTGTTGTAATATTTATACCAGGAAATACACTAGGCAACCTTAAATTGAAAGTATAGGAGAGATTTTATTATGTCGTTACCAATGGCCATAATAGTCAGAAATGTTATCTACATCAGAACATTATGATAAATTTGCACAGTATTTTATTTTCCAGGCAATTGAACTACCTCATAATAAAGGTTAGAATATTCTAAATAATCCAACTGCTGGCCTTACACTGTACCTACAAAACAATGAAGTATTTCTAAAAATTTTCTACTCCAATTAACTGATTGCAAGTCCTCCAAAAATTCCACCATCCACTGGAAGAGCAGCATATTCCTGACATATTTTATAGAACGATACACTATCTCTACAAAAATCCCATGATTGGAAACAGGCAAGACCTAAAATATGAGTTTCCTTTTTGATCAGGTTAATGTCCGTTCCATGTTTCATAAAGAAAAGTTACATAATGACTCAAACCCTGCAGTTTCTCAAAATCTTTTTTGTACATGCAGATTCTACAGCTACCTAATAGGGAGGTAAAGAGAAAAAGAAGTGAGGCTCTCTATCCCAGAGATGCACAGGGATAAGATAAGAGGCGACACACACAAATTCAAATATGAGAAATTCTATTAGACATAAAGAAGAAACATTTTCAGTTCAGGGTGGCTGAATACTGGAATAAGTTACCCAAAGAGGTGGTGCAATCTCCATCAAATGGAGATACTCAAATCTCAACTGGACAAGGCTCCAGGTGACCTCACAGGGGCCCTGCCTTGAACAGCAGCCTGGGACCACATGGCCTCCAGAGGTCCATCCAACCTACACGCTCCTCTGATTCTGTAAAATTAGACTTCAGGTCCACCACGAGAGAGATTGTTGTTGCATTTTTTTGGTGGGGGGCGGTGGAAGGAGGAGGGTTGCTTGTTTTTTAATAGCAATATAATTGTTATCTGCACTGGTCTCCCAAGGATTCTCTACACTGGCAGGAAGTACCAAGGATGGATGGCGCAAATTCGGCCAATGCTTAGAATTAGAAAAGTTCTAAATATACAGGGCTCCAACCTGTTAGTACGAATAGCAACAGGTGTGCTGCGCAATCTGTATCGGTAACATCTCTCAAATACTCAGTTCCTCGATGTAAAAATGTGGGTGAGGGAACTGTTCTTCTGAAGCTGTTTGCTCAAAGTGAATAGCAAGTAGCTCTTTTAGATAAAGAGATAAGACAAGGAGTCTGCTACAAGTAACTGCAGGAGAGTTGTGCCAAAATTAGTATCAAAAAAAAAAAAATGACGCTTGTACTAAGGATTAAGGAAAAATACATGCAAGAACAGACTTCTAAAAATTGTTTCAGACATTACTTAATCAAGTGCTAAGACTACTTATACCATAACGGATTAGGCAATAATTCAACCCAGAGAATCGTTCTGTTGAAGGAAAGTCTTAGTGTAGCCCACATACTACGCAGATCACTAGTTTCTACCTCATCAGCTGTTGTATGAAGGTCATGAACATTTGGGACAGAGTAAGAATTTTCTGTGCTAAGTAAAAGAATACTGGCCTTGGATCTGACATGTGATGTCTTGCTTTCAGAAGTATAACAGGAAAAGACTGGTATGGGAATAGAGTAAATCTGATTTTTAATAGAAAGGAACGTCAAATCAAAGGTCAAAAATTTATTTCTTTAGCCTTCCTGGAACAGATTTATACTACTACTTTAAATTTCTGCTTTCCCTTCCCTTTACTATTCTACTCCCAATTGAAAGACAGAAAAGACTCAGGAACAATTACACACAAAGTAGTCTGAAAAAATACTGCTCACGATCAAAAACATCAAAATGTAAGAGATCAGTGCAAGCTGGTATGCCCGCCAAAAAAAAAACAAAAAAAAAAACACTCATCATTTTCAAAATGCTTTATAAACATCAGCTAAATTAAATATTGCCTACAGCTGAATAAAGATTGCAGAATACTTTATCCTCTATGCAGTAGGCTTCTTTTTCGGCCCCACTAACAAAGGTGTAATTACAGGGAACAAATAGTAGAGATACTTCTGGATTCCACCTCATTCTCCCTTTCGGTTCCCCACCACTTCAGGGAAGTACTATTAAAGTTGACACTAGCAGGAGAGAGAGATCCTCAAATCCATCAGGCTGCAGTGGTTCCTTATTCCTACCGGGATAAACTCCCCTCAAGTGAATTTGGAGGACAATGTGATGAGGGCCTAAGTCTTGCATTAAGAGGCTCAAGGCTCAGCAGCGGATGTTCGCAGCAGGTAGCAGAACAGAAGCAAAGAGCATCAGGGCACCCGGTAGATAGCACCTGGCAAACTATTAATCCCCATGAAGGGAGAGTTGACACACATAGCAAGATGTCTGTCCAGTAAGCGTGGTTACCAGAGACTCCCTGTGGAGTCGGACAGATTGAAACAGTCTCTCACTGAAATTCAGGTCTTAGCTCTCCAACTATAAAAGGTCCTTTATTTAGGCACCTAAGGGTAGCAGAACCTTACTGCTGATAGCTGTAAAAACTAGTTTTAGGTGTTATTCACTACAAGAATTAGAACACTGCAATTCTGGTTCAACTCACTGATCCAAACAGTTCAGTACCCCATACCCAAGACCTGCCAAAAGCAGTTCCCTATCTGAAGTTACTCCTGCCACCCTCTCCGTAAGTCCTTAGTTTCACCATTTTTTTTGAGATGGAGTAACAACAACTTCACAGAACAAAATTCTTCAGCACTCACAAACTATTTTGGATTTTCTGCCTTAATAAGACATTGTAAGAGTGGAGCAGCACTGCATGTTAGATAACGCCCTAAGCATTTGCCCCTACACCAAGCCCAGACACAGTGTTGCCTCCCCTCAATCTCATACTGCCCATGCTGCCTCACCTCCCCTTCAAACCCAAAGGCTTTAGTTGTAATGCGGAGGACAGATGCAACATACCCCTCATACAAAACCATGATTTCATAGGAAGGAAAAGAAAAGTACAATCCACTCTCAGTGGAATGAAACATAAACAGCCTCTCTGTTTCTGAAGATAGTGTCTCTCCTGCCTATTAACCTTTATAGGAAGGAGAAGGCTGCCCAAAAAAAAAAAACCTGTAATCAAAGGAGAGGAGACTCCACCGAATCTGAGCGGATCATGAGCTAATTTAATTTATTCATGACTTCTCCAGCAAGGCAATAGCAACACAGCCTTTACCTAGGTCACAGTGAAGAATGCCGTGGCATTTCCTTTGAGCAACATCAGCCACTAGAAATAAAGCAGATCTGCTGCCACTTCCTACTCTGGCTTTCCATAAAACACAGAGTCACACTTCAAATCTTTCTTTCTCAAGGTACCCAGTGACTTGGCCTTAGGATACTCAGAAGGACTACACAACTCTCTAGGATAAAGACCGACATTGACAACCCCACCCTTCTATGGAGCTTACATGAGGCCATAACAATGCAGCTCTGTACAGCACAGCCTTTACTTTTTCTAAAAGAGCAGCAGTAAGACTGTGGAAAGAAGTCTCACAAATACTAACAGCTATCACAAACTGCGCTGCTTTCCTTTCCAGGTAGGAGGCACACATCATCTGCTCCTCATTTACGTATATACCACAGAGCACCCATTAAAAACATACATACACAAAACAATAACATGCATAATTGTGACAAAGCTATCAAATCATAATGCCATCCTGAGAACACACAACTCTCTGGGAAAGAGACTATAAAGGGAATAAAAAAACTAATAATCAATGTCCACCATATATCCACTATACTACACGGACTCTATCGCATAAACTTGCACGCTTGTTACTAACACTTAAAATAGCAATTAGATACTGACACCTTCTCAAGCAGATTTGCTCTCTGCACGTAAAGAATATCCAGGTTTGACACACTTACCGAATATTAAATATTTATTTAATCATCAAGAAAGATTTCAAACTTAGTAAGAATTAAGCCCATGTGACAGGGTAGAACATAACCACTTAAACCACTAATACCACTTTCCTTATACTATCAAGTTGTATGCACTAAAATGAGACTTTAAATTTAACCAGTAGCACAGTCCATAGATGCAGCCTTTATTTGGCATATTTAAGCATTAAAAAGAGACTGAAGTACATTATCCACAGGCCACGCTGACTGAGCTTTTTGCCTGGAGCCCTTCTTGCAGTGTAACTCCACTTTCTTCTCTTTCAAATCCACAAGCCAGCAGCAGTCTACAGATAGGATAAAAAGCCCAGCTTTGCTATGTATTTACAGTTTCATCTTCAATATAACAACTAATAAATCTCATCTCTCAGATTCTCTTATGAGAAGTACTTTTCAAAATGCTCAGAAACCTCAACAGCTAAGAGCAAAACGGAATGTACACAAATCATGCACTGTCACAGGGCAGATGGCCTAATAATGCCTAAAGCTTTCAAGACTTTAGCTTTCCAATTTCCTTGTATTTGCATCCACAAGTTACAGCTCTTGATCTCCTTTGGTCCTTTCAGTCTAACCAAGCATGCAGAAGGTACAGAAATACTGCAGAAGAAGAAACAAATGAACCTCAGTTAGGAGGAAGAAAAGAATCAATGGAAAAAAAAAAAGAGAGATATGAAGCAGAAGAAAAAAGCTAAATAGTTCATGAGTAAAAACAGAAACAGCAGAGCTATAAATACAATGTAAGAGAGAAAGCTTCAGGAAAAAAGCTCAAGATAACAGATTGGATTCTAAAGAAAAACTCAAGATATATTAAAATATAGGAAATAAGTAGTCAGAATGATTTCAATTACTCAAATATTATAGTACAGCATACTTTATATATTTCAAATGACCATTGTTACTTTTTCTATAATTTACAAACCGAAATGAGAGAATTTCAAGCTGCTCCTAGTGCAAGAGTACACATTCATCATGTAAGTCAGCCAAGTAACACATACGTAACTGTACATTGAAATTTTGAGAAAGTAAAAATCTCAATGCAACAAAAAACTAAATAAGTAGATATACTAATGAAATTAAAAATACGCTATTGTATTTGCTTTATCTGTGCAGAAGTTTTATTTCACAACTAAAAGCTAGAAAAGCTGTCTAGTCTGTATATCACTAGAATTACATTTATCAGGGCAATTATACATGCACTTGAATGTAACTTAGATCACATGAAACTTAGATCACAACATTTCAATTCGCAGACAACCAAACTTTTGCACACTACAATCTGACAAGATAAATAACAAGTCCACAACAGCGAGACATTAATTTGATGAAATATGTCCTGATTAAGTGTGTAATCTGTGCGCTACGCACAAGAAGAAAGCGCAGAAAAAATAATCAAGTACCTGCCAGTGTGACTTCTAGAGAAAATAGTTCTGTCTCTAAACAGGATGATCTGTTTGATACTGAGAGTGTCATTATGAAAAGCCTCTTGAATAAGATAAGCGGAAAAAGATGATCTCCTTTCTACCTTAGAAGACTGATCCAAGACTGATCCAGTGTCCCACTGCCATCTGCGGCCAGTTTCAGAGAAAAACTGAAAACAGAAAGCCTCTGGCAGCTATTTTTAAGAAAAATAGTTGCTCTCCTCATTTCTCCAGGCAACTGGTTAAAACTTGAAACACAAAATTTGATTATGCTCTAACGCAGGCCTGGCAGCGTTAGCAGACTTTTAAAGGCAATCCCATACCCTTGCTACTTAGAAATGGAGGGAACAAACAGAAAGATTTATAGATAACAGATACCACAGCAAAAGACCCGATGACAAACCAGTCCTCCACAATCCATGGACACAAGGACCATGAAGTTTTCCC